AGGATCTGCTCTCTGATTCTAGACAATCACTTACCTCTGAGATATCACCAGACAAGAAATACTCTTGAATAATTGATTGAGCCTTCATCTTGAAAACTTTTGTAGCACTATCTTCCAAGGATCTCTTTTCTGGCTTTGCTGAAAGTGATCTCAAAGATGATGCACACAACCAGCCTTCAGATGCTGCCTTAGAGATCAAAGACTGTAATATCCCCTGTGCATTTGGAATGTCAAGTGACAAATCATCAACAGTGTCAATCATCCTACTAAATCCCTTTGTGATTTGACTTGAGTTAATCAAACCTTCTTCAGCTGCTTCTTTAAGCAAATCTAGTAATCGGCCTTCAGCTCGATTCCTCTCCATTGCCATTACAAGAGCACATTTAACTATTTCATGATGGAAGAAAGGAACTTTCAAATCCTTGATGCACCTAGAAGCCTCTTTCTTATCACCACTTACTACATACTCTATCAGCAGATTGTTTATCCTGGCTTTAACATCCTCAACTGTTTTATTCTTGCTACCTCCCCATCGACGCTCAATAATTTCCGCATGAAGAGGAGCTGCAAGATACCCTTTCTCTGCTCTTTTTAAGACTTCCACTCCCTTTGAATCGCTAGGTAGGGAAGCCATCTGTTTTCTAAGAAAAGCAGGAGGAAGTATGTCATCCACCACAGCTCGAGCTATAAACAATGCAAGAACATCCACTGTATCTGGTATATCCACAATCAAGTCATCTGCAGATTCCACCAATTTACTGAAGCCTTTATAAACTTGTGGGGGATCAATCACATCAGCATACAGTGCAGATAATAAAACAGCAGCCATTTCCTTCTCTTTGTCATGCCCATCCATAGACATGGAGACAAGCTTTTTAACAAAATAATAGTTATAGCTCGGCATTGCAAGTTCTCTTAATTCATTGGCAGTTGAGACAACATCATCAGTTGCGAAGTATTCCTCAACTGTTATAGTCACCTTCTTTTTGTACTTCTCAAAATCCTGTGCTGATTTTATTGCACTTGGATGTTTGCATTCCTGTATCAAGTATAAATTTGTCTTCAATGAGCATCAAAACTGAGATTATCCCTAAGAATTATTGCTCCAATAACTGGTAACTGAAAGAACAAAAACAAAAAAAAAAAAAAAAAAGAAGGAAAAGTACAGGGGTTAGCAACTTAGCATACAAAAAGATGAGCTGTGCGCTAAGTACCTCACTACTATTATAATTTAGGTCATTTGGGTCAAGTGGATAACTATCATCAGTATCAAGCAACCGTCCCAAGGTCTCTTCACCACAACAATCACCTGCAAGATAAAGGTTTTCATTAAGGCCAAACAGTGAACAGAACAAAAAGAACTCATAACTTTAAATGATGTAAATAAATTTTCTATCAACATGGACTATATCAATTGATTATAAACTTGGCTGATTGACTGAGAAAACAGGAAAATGCAAATACTCAACATTTTCCTCATCTGCCCATCATGTACTCACGCAGATGAGGTTAAGACTGGGATTAGCGGTTTTCAACACCATAACCACAAACTCTACCAGCTTCAGTACTCTCCACATAGGAATTTCACGCTGCTTTGTCTAATTCGTCTAATAACAGCATTAAAGAAAAAAAAAAATGTATAACCTTTTTGAGGACAACCATCTTCTGGAGAATGTGAGTGCCTGTCGTACTTGAGTGGTCTTCCTTTGCCTGGGGAGCCTCCCTTGCTTGTGTTATGTTTTTCATCTACCTCAGGTGAACTTGGGGACTTTGGAGAAGTAGAGATCTGCAATGGAGAAATAGACAGTGGGTCTGCACTATCCATTGCAGAGTGGACAAGTTCTCTATGTTCATTTGATACAAAACCATCAGTAAAGTCCATTTTAATTAGCTTCGGCTCACCGTCATCAACTTACTACCTACTCCCTCAAGTGACCGCCCTGATGCTGTCATTCATCTGTGTACACTAAAAAAAGTTGGAAAATATGGTCCCTGGATCTCTGTCTACCATCACACATTCAGAAATACCTTTCACCTTCTTCAAAGTTAACCTGTCTTTTTCTTGCAATACATCATTTAATGCCCTGATACACTCGGTAGATTTCTGCAAGAATCTCAGTAGGGTTAAGAACAAGAAAGCTAAGACAAAGCAAAATCATTCCTTTAAATGGATACCGAAAATTATAAGAGGGAACCAATAACATGCACTATGGGACCTTATGAATCAACCACTTTCAAGCATAAAAAGTCAGTGATGTTTATCAAAAACAGCCTTCACATGTTTTGGAAAGCATAAACTGACTGAAATAGAAGACAAAGATAGCTCTAATAAGATCCTTATTTAGTACTCCAAAAAGCATGCATTGTTCACCTCCTTAAGAAAGCACTGACGTAGAGAGAAAGGTGTAATTGCAATAGAATCCAAACTATCTTGGTGTATATATATATATATATATACACACACATACACATATATATGAAGAGCCCAGACCATGACGCATAGATGTTTTTCTTAGATAAATTCCTTGGCGGCCTGGCCTCAAGGGTGTCTCAACTAGCAAGAGTTTGAGATTCCAAGGTGAAGGCCTCAAGGTTCAACCCTAATCCGTGTATATCTGCCCCTAGGTTTTTTAATCAGAGTTTCTCACAAAATTTTAGGCCAAACCCCATACTTGCACTTTGCATATTATTTTTTTCTGCAGTCAATAATTTTTATTTTCGATCAATACCCTTCATAATTTAAAACCCGTAAAAAACTTAAAAAATTAATGGTCAAATCTCCTATTTGTACCTTAACTTTGTTGGTAATTTAAGGATTTTTATGGGTTTTAAATTATGAAAGGCGTTGACTGCAAGAAAAAAAAAAAAAATTGATAAGGTGCAAATGGTGGTTTAGCCCAAAATTTAAACATTTCATAGAATTCACAAAATACAGAGGCAAATTACAATCGAAATTATCTAAGAAATCGCTAGAACCAGAAGCACAATGATTTCACAATTCAGCCATTTCCAAAACACATTCAAGCCAAACAATGCTCGAGAATTGTTAAGGAGGAAACACCTATTCCATTAAGATTCAAAGCTGCTGAATCGTTTTCTCAGAATTGTTGCAATGGAATGAAAGACGATAAAGAAAGCCGAACCTGAAAATTGCGATTTGCGAGTAGAAAAAAAGAAAAAAAATTGGTGCGCCGGAGACGCAATGCGCCGGCGCCTGCCCAGTTCCCTTGACTCGAAGCAGCGTGTTTCAGTTTTGATATTTGGATCTTAAAATCCAAAATGTCAGTTTCGAGCAAAGTAGCGTTAAGGGGTTGGTTGCAGAAACGGTGGTTTTCCTTCGGTTGCGGATCTGAGGGAACTTTGGAATCCAACGGCTAAGAGCGTCTTAGAACTCGCCTTTTGAAACGGGAGAAAATTACCCGGGAAACCCGCGGGTCAATCAACTGAATTCTAATGGTGCTGTTCTAGACGGTACGTTAAGTGCGGGCGAGGTGTTTCTATTTATTTATTTATTTATAATTATTTTATATTATTATTATTATTTTTTTCCATCCTTTCATTTTTTTTTTAACAAGTTATCAAGATGGGGTTGAAACCTACTTATAAAAAAAGGGAAATGTATCTCAAATTGATAAGGTGTCAATTGATTCGAAGAGTCAGGTGTATTTTTATATTTTTTCATTGGTTTAAAAGTTACATTAAATTTTAATTAATTTATAATTATTAATTTATAATTAAATCGTGTTAAATTCATAAAAAAACCTTTTTAAATATTTATTTTCTATTTATAAAATTTAAATTTAAAAATTTATTTAAAAAAACTCAAATTTTTAAGGTGTCAATTGATTCGAAGAGTCAGGTGTATTTTTATATTTTTTCTTGGTTTAAAAGTTACATTAAATTTTAATTAATTTATAATTATTAATTTATAATTAAATCGTGTTAAATTCATAAAAAAACCTTTTTTAATATTTATTTTCTTATTTATAAAATTTAAATTTAAAATTTTATTTTAAAAAATCAAATTTTTACAACTCAAATTAATAAATAATTGATATTTTATTATTTTACTTTTAGGAAAGTACATATGTAAATTTCTAAACTGAAGTTCTAATTAATGAAGCAACTACTAAATTCAAGATCTATTTAATCTTACTGCTAAAATTGTAATAGCTGATAATTTAATTGTTACTTTAAAATAATTATTATTTAATCACTCAAATATTTTATGCTAGCATTTACGTTTAAATAATCAACATAGACGTTACTCACCAAAATAATAAATTAATGATAAAAGTC